GATAAAAAATGCATCAAATTCGATTTTCTTGAAATTTTGGTCCTTGATCAATTGTTTCAAAAATTAGTTTACGTTTCGATTAAGTGTGATGCCTTTACAGGTGTAGGTGATGCGAATTATGATATTTGTGTGTGTCAGTTTGTTCGAATTGTGATATTTGTGTGCTTGAATGTACGAAAGTCTTAATGGGTGTCCTAAGGCTTTTAAACACTATAGGAACTCTCTTCAGGCTCCGACGTGTTGGTTCTAACCACTCAACCTACCGGTGATGATACATGATCTTAGCCACCCAACCAGGTGGTGACAACTCGAAATCATAACCACTCGGCCAAATGGGGATGACTTGGGACCACCCTTGTGAGGCTCCACAAAAGAGTTAAGAGATGGTTCGAGTTTCTAAATGGTGTGGGTCCCGTCACTAGTCCTGTAAGATAGTCGATAGGAAAGTCCTATGGCTAGATCCTAGGCTCTAGATAAAGAGAAAGGAAGATCTCAAAATAAGGTAAAAAAACACACTTAACTTTATAATTTTTGATGAAATTCCAACCATTACACCAATAGGCACCTCAAGAGTTAAACTTCATTCTAATTAAGGGGTTTCATAATCTACTCAAGTAAATGATGTTCTCATCAATATTCTTAACTCAAAATCATCCACCAAATAGATAGAATTTTAGATTTAGCTCCTACAGATAAAGAGATGCCTCATACTATTTAGCACTTTGTCCTATTTGAGGTTCGAGAGGTGTCTCCCATGGCATAGTTCTTTATTCTATCAGACTATTATAATGCACTGATATTCTTTGTGATAGTCTTAACTCATATATTGTGATATTTTTCGCTTTGATCTAATGGCCTTGTCATTTTTTTCTAATTGGTTTAACTTCCCAAGAGGTTGCCTTTCCTTAGAGAGCTCCTATTAGAGCACACTTAACTTTGGAGTGCCTGAGGAAATTCCAATAGTTGCATCAAAAAACATCTTGCTATTTAAGAGTTCAGCTTCATTTTTCTTGAGGGATTTCACATAGTTCATCCAAACACTTGACAAAATAGCATTGCTATTCCAAAAGAAGTAAAAGTTGATAAAAGTAGAATTTGAATGGACCCTTAAGCACACCGTTAAGAGGTAACCAAAATATATTTGTAATCATCAAAACATTGAACGGGTATATTTAAGGCTTAAGTAGATTAATAGTCTTTTTTTTTTTTTATAGCTGAAACACATACAAATACAAGTCAAAAGAATGTGAGTGGTGACCTCCCCTTAAAATATGTATTGATGACTTTTTGGTTGCAAATAAAATTTTTGTAATGTATTCCTTTTACATATATTTTATTTGTTTTTTGTTGTTTGGGTAGAAGTAAAATAAAAGCAAACTAAAATGTTATGTGTATTTGAAATGCACAAAATTCCTCTTTCTCCAACAAGTCAGATATTTGCATTCCATTTTCTAATGCCCATCCACAAGAGATCACCGATTGGGCTAGGAGGAGTGGCAGTCTAGTTCCCGGGTGACCATGCTAAACTTGACATGGGTATTAGGGGAGATGTGGCATTGGTGATCAGTCAAAGGAGAAAGGTACAGCGAAAGAGGAAGCAATTGTTTGGGATATGAGCAGCGTGAAGCGTGAAAGGGCTAGATGTTGGTGGTCTTGATGTTGTCAAAGAGAGAGTAGTGGTGATGGTGTTGACATCCTTGGGAGGGCAAAAGAGCTCAAAGGGATCTCGAGCAAGCAGTCACTTAGCTTTGAGTTGCTTCTAACAAATACTACAATGAAGGCATCTGCTTTACTTTTGTTGATGCTTTTTGCTCCGGTTCTTCTAACTTGCCTCTTGCTTTGACTCTAAAATAGCCCATGAACCTACATATTGCCTACCTTTGTTGCATAGCTTAATAAATTTAGCCTTATACTCATCAACTTCTTCAACTATAGAAAGAATCAAATCAAGTCCTTCTCTTCTATATTTTTACTGTAGAGTCAAGTAAATACAATCATATTTTTCATATTTTTTTAAAGCCAACTAAACAAGCCTTGATGATCAGGATTTATTATTTTTAGTTTATCTAGTCTCTTAAAATGCTTGCTCTTGGATACGACCAATCAAATAACAAATTGAATGAAAACAAATAATTTCAAAACATAGGAATTCATATTTAGGAAATCATAGAATTACACTTCTAATAATAAATATTTTGCTGTCATTTGTAAATAGAATAAAGTGCTAAAATCAGAATAAAGCATATCTATAGAGACCCTCTACTTTTTGAAACTTGTCAAAAAGGAGTTGAGAAATTAACAATTAATATAGTTTTAAAACCCAACTCAAACAAATTATCTTGGAAATTTAGAAAAATATTAAAAAAAACTAAAACAACAAATCATAAAAATCATCAAAAAGCATCTGACAATGAGGATGGATCTTAATAGGGCTATTGGTCTCCCAAATATAAGCATTGTACTTTCCTCTTGATTTTGTAATCGGTCATGTCATTGGCCCTATAGTTCATCTGTTGGACCCTATTGGTCTCCAACTTTATTGGTCAACTTGTCTCAGGTTGTTCAAAACAATTTGCTAACTCACCATAGTCGTAGAAAGCTCTTGTTGTTTTTTTCCTATTTTATTCATGTGCAAGCATGTTGATGAGAGGAATCAATCTTGATCTATACCTTGCGCTATTTCTTCATCATTGTTGCAATTAAAGTCAATAACCTCCTATCCTTTTGAATGAAGTTAAAGAGCAATAACTTTCTTGAAACTGTGACCTAGGAATGCTTAAGAATTTTATTTGGCTGTTGAGATTAGCAATGGTGTATTTCTCCTCAAGAATGTAGGCAATCATAGGATTGAAGGCAAGGTTGAAAATTTTTTTCCTAGAAGCTTCATGATTACAAGATAGTCCAGATATTAGAAAATGTTGTCTGCTAAATCCGAATTAGTTTTGGTAAGACTAATATGTGGCATGCAGGAGAAATGGAGTTATCATTTTGTTATCATTGGCTTGATGTTATGTGTGGAAAACATGCTAAATATGCAAGCATCAACAAACAAATTTTTAACAGGTTGGAGGTGATCAAGAAAAGGATAACCTCGCTAAAGCAAGTGCACATCACCCAGTTAAACTCAAGATCAGTGTTTAAATAATAAATTTTCTCCATAATTTGTGACATAGTTGTTCAGGTCACCAAGGGTATGTCAGCATCTCAACCCTCAACATAGGATTTTCCCTTGGTGTAGTTGGAATGTTTCCATAGAAAAGATGGATTGGATCACAGTGTATGTTGCGATTAGACAACTAAAAAACTGATTAGTATCATTAGGTAATCATGGACACCGTACTCAAAAGTAGTTTTGAAGTGTTAATCTCTTAGTATGGACATAAGACCAATGCAAACAAAGTTCAAGCCACCTTTGGGATGAATTCACCATGTTTGGCAATTTGTCATTCACTCTGTTTGCTGGTATTGACCCGCAATTTCACCAATTTTAACTGTTTTGTTAAAGATTTGACTTTGTAGATTTTGAGACTAAGAATCAAGTGTTACTATGAATTGGATCATTTAATAGCAAAACAAGAATGTGATGGTAGAATTTCACAAGAACTGTTTTCATTATAGTTCCTAACTTCAATGCTCATCCCCACCACCTTGATGTCGAGAACATGCTTGCTCTCATCACTAACAAAAACTCTATATGATGTAGATGTGGTAAAAATTATAGAAAACTTTGACGATGATGGTGAAGCAGAAATTGGCATCAGTGTCCAATTTGCAAAAGTTGACCATCAATGTAATGAGCAATCTCCACCACAACACTCCTCAATAATATTAAACAATGAAAATTGTAGCTTTATAAGTTGTGGAGTTTGTTAGAGTAGCATCAATATCCCACACATAGTGAGGTGTCATGGAAACAGCTTTCATAGCCTTTGCACTAGAATTAGGAGGTGGAGGAACATATGAAATCGTTGTAGAAGTTGGTGGTGGCACAAAAGATGATGTTGCAAAGGACTAATTTGGCATTGGAGACAAATCACCGTGTTTCCTTTTCTGCCATATCGGAGCTATACTTTTAGCGAGAATCTTAATGATAAAGGAAATTGAAGTGTTTTGAACTTTATTACTTATTAAAATAATTTTAATACCAAAAAAGTAGCATATAACGATCTCATGGCCTACGAAGTTGTGACATTTGAGTTTAAATACATTTGGTTACTTTAGGATTGTTTAATAGATCGACTTATTGGTAACCAGAGCCAGACATTATAAGTGACAGTGAGGTCTCCAAAAAGGTAGCTATTTAAACATGGTACCCAAAATAATATAATTGGGGAGCCTGGTTCAATGGCAACAAACTGATAAAATAGGGTGAACTTATGTGGGTTGTAAATTTACCCACCTTCCATGAAACCATGAGGCCAAATAAAAAAAACAAAGAGTTACTAGCTAAAGGCAGTCTTGGTTCAATTAATTGGATTTTAGTTGCAATAACTGTCATTCGGCATGCAATCAGTAACCAAATTGTGATTTGCTTGGCTTAGGAGTACTTTATAAGCTAAATGGTGCTTATCAATTGCAAGGAAAAATCATGATTGAATTCCTTTGTCCATGTAGTATATAGGCCCGAATATGGCATAGAAATTGCAAAATCCATGTGATTAAGTGATCTTCTTGGTTCCTCGATAACACTAGAGTGTGATCCTTTCAATCCAGTAATAGATTTTTTTTTTCTGATAAAAAATTTTAGATAGTTTTCAAACTCACATCTCATCCCTTACATCTTCTATCTCAAAGTAATTTTCCCGCCTTTCGTTAATCTAGTTTAAGGCATCGATCATTGATGTTCACGTCTATGACAATTGAAAATTTTTATTTTATCACATTTCATATAGTTCCGACTTCTTTGTTCTTGGCTCGGCAAAGCCAATGGTGGTTGTTTTCTCGATGCTTATTCTTTTTTATTTTATATATTCTTCTTCTGTTGTGTTTTTCAAAATCAGATACAAGCATGGCAAGAAGAAGTTGAGCGAGCACGGCAATGTCAGAGAGAGGCTGAAAACAAAATTTCTTCCATGGAGGTAATTATTCTCTATTCCCTCGACAAATTCTGTTTTATTTTCAATGCTATAGCTCCTGTGGTTTAATTCATGAGAAATTTACGTACAACCCACTTGATTCTTATGTACTTACAATTCTACATATCTAATGCCTAAACCTTAATTTTTACATGCTACCCACTACGACATTCTCTATTCATAAGGTGTATTTCACTTTTTAATAGTTAAAATTGTGTTATTTTTATGTGATTTGATTGATTTCAGTGGTATAAATGTAAAAAAGTAAAAGTTAGGTGTTAGATATGTAAATTCATTAGAATTGAGTGCTATCAGGTATGTATGTAAACCCCTCTTAATTCATTTAGTTTAAAGTGCTTTAGAATGTTTTAGATGTTGTGACCAAAAGCGAATCTGTAAATTTATTTAGCTTGATGGCTTGAAAGAAATCATGCAGCACCTCTAGTTGATATGTATATATGGCTGAATCGCCACCTTATCTGAAATGTGGCAGGCTGAATTGCAAAAAATGAGAGTTGAAATGGCTGGAATGAAGCGGGATGCCGACCATTACTCACGCCAGGCAAGTTCTACTGGTTTTTTCTTAGAGTAATTGCTATTTTTTAAAATGATAATTGATAAGAGATGAGGATGAATTTTAATGGCCTCATAAAATATGTTTATCAAGAGAAAACAGTTAAAAGATCTCACATTTGCTCATTTCTTATGATTTACAGGAACATATGGAATTAGAGAATAGATACCGTGAGCTTACTGATTTGTTAGTGAGTTGCATCAAGCTACATCTTTCGAGCAAAAATAATGTTAATGGAGATTTTAAAAAAATTGGAAACTTACTGGAAGTTTTTTTTTTCCCAGTACCACAAGCAAACACAGCTGGAGGCCATGGCTAGTGAGAAGGCAGCAGCTGAGTTTCAGATACAAAAAGAAATAAATAGATTGCAAGAGACTCAGGTGGTCTTTTTATTTTAATGAATCTTTGCATTTTTTATTTAATTAATGCAAAATACTCGCCTTATTGACATGTAATTTGCTTTTAGGTTGAAGCAGAAAGAAGCAGAGCTTCTCGTCGTTCTTCAGTATTTTGGGAAGAAGACACTGATATAAAAGCTCTCGAGTATGTTAACCTCTCCTCAGATTTATGAATGCAATCCTCTCTCAATTCAACCAGTTAACCATTCTATTTGCGCCTTGCTTCTCAGTTATTCGTTAGTGTTTACTGACTCATCTTTTTTTTTTTCTTTTTCCGCGTGCACTTTTAACACTTTCGTGACATAAACCTATACATGAGGTATTCCACTTTTGAAAAAATAGTGATGGTGGTATTTCTTATGTGATGTTAAATATTTGATCGGTAGGCATGTTAATGTGGATGTTTAGGTGTTAGATGTATAAATAAAAGAGAATTGTGTGCTATGTATGTAAATGACTCTTTTCTTGAGGCAGGGTGAGCATTTGAACCCAGCACCTTAGGGTTTTTTACTTTGTTTCTAATCAATATACAAGGCATTCTAGCACCTTGTTTATCTTCATTCGGTTTGCTTTGGTTATGAGTTATGTGCTTATTGTCCAGCTGAAGTATTCAAAACCCAGGTGATGGGAATGCACCCATAATTCAAAATGTTATTTAATATCACATATTTCTGTTATATGCCCTTATAATCACATGTTAAACTTGCTTCTTGTCCATGTATTTTTCTTCTCTGACTTGTGCAAGATGATTCCTCGCCAAACATGAAAATTCTTTTTGTTTTGTATTTTTGGGCTTGGATTTTGGAATTGGATTGTTATGGTCAAATTGAAGTACAGCCTAATAGGACTTAGAAGCTTGTAGTGATACCCGTTTTGACAGTATTTTGTCTGATAGATTTTTAAAAATACAATAATTGCAGATATATATTCTTGCATTTTACACTACTCTGCTTGAATGTTTAGATTTGTAAACAGCTCTAAGACTGCTCCAAGCAATAGAATTACCTGATATCACTTATCACAAAATTACATAGTTTTGGGTTTTATAAGTCTATTTCCTCCCTTTTTTTCCTTGACTGGCGATTCAAATGAACCCTAACTGCTTTCTGCTTCACTGGTTTCTGACCTGCAGACCTCTTCCATTACACCACAGACATATGGCTGCAGCAAGCATGCAGGTTTCTTATATTCAGTTCCTCTTCATTCCTTAGGCCCCATTTGGATTACTTTTTATTTTTTGTTTTGTTTATGCTTCTTTTTTTTTTTAATTGAAGCATGTTTGGTTGTGGTAGCTCATTTTTAGAACAATCAAATATCTTTTAGGCGTTTTGAGTGTTTTTAAAAACAATTTTTTTTAAAATAATATATATATATA